CTGCACGTAGGCAGCAGCGTCTGTTTCATATACTGCCTGATCAAGACTTCGATCAAGGAATGGGTTTATGATACTGTTTGCATCAGATACTTTCCATGTGAACTTCTGTTATGATCTTGAAGCATTTGGCCAGATACATAAAAGAGAGAATGTCAATGGCATTCTGCCAGGCAAAAAAAATAATCATCCTAAATTGAATTTTCCCCAATAACTGATGTAGCCTATATTGTTCCATCTTATATTTGAGATATGGGTTTGCAACAAATGGCACTTGATGCGTTGTTTCAACTTGGTCTGAATGTTCTTTTATTGACTGTATTACAAACAAGTTTTTTTTCAAACTTTCCTCCCCAGAGACATTTTTTTCGTAACTTAGGATCAATTTTAACCTATGCCTTTCTGGGAACTGCCGTCTCCTGCATTGTCATAGGGTAAGTGAATGCCTTCTGCTATTATTGCTGGTGTCATTATTAGTGCTTGATATTTTTTTCAATTAAAAACTAAACTGTAAAAAGAATTGCAGACCCTGCATGGTCAATACACTTCACAACTTGTGTAACAGATAAAGTAATTCCTTATCAGGGAATGCTGAGATGGAAAAGGCAAACCTCTTGGGTAGCAAGAACTGCCCAGGGCATTCAGGAAATTGTGTCCTTCATTTCTGGTCCATGACTGATGCAAGCATGAACTGTTTTCTACAACCCTCTAGCTTTAACCCTCTGTCCTGAAAAACAGAACCATTCTCTCTATTGAAATTCCATGTTTCTAACTGGAATTCCTTCTGGAGGAGAGGAGATCCCTAACAGAAAAGGAAGGACTTTAAATCTCAAAAGGGAGAGGAACATATACCTAGTGGCATATATGTAAAATAAAAAAGTCTCAGTCTGCAACTACATGTGAATTTAGCCTAGATATCACTAAATGGCTTCTGCAGAAAAAGAGGAAGGGAAAAAAAGCAGAGGGGCAAAAACCCCTGTTTTATTTCTGTACCCTCTGAGTGAAAAGTTTCTGATTTTGTTTCAAAATTGCCTAATTAAAGAAAAGATTTGCTAGTCAGAAATAGATTACATATTTCCAGGTGGCATGATGTGAAACTTCTGTTTGTCTGTTTGGTTAGCTCAATCAAAATTAAACAAACCATTTAAAAATCCTGTTGGATCTTGAGAGTCCATGTGTTTCCCAATATTTATGAATACCACACAGACAGTTCAGCTCTCATGTTCCAGGAAGATTCCCGATGCAAGTGAAAACGAATGACCAGAGTCAGATTCTGCAGTGAGTGGGTATCTGTGCCTACACAGATCCTCACTGAGAAAAGCAAAACAGTGTTCACAGTTTACCTTTAGCATCATTAGGCATCCCATGGCATTTCTGTGCTACAGAGTGGTGCAGAGACAGCTGAGCTACCTGAGTCTCTATGGTCTGTGGAGGCGATGGAGCAGTGCTGCATGTAAGTCAGTCTTGCTGAGAGGCCTTGATCTTGCTGTGATTATGCAGTCGAAATGGGAAAAGTCAAAAGTCATGGAACTTTCTGGTGTTCAGGTTTTCAGGTTTTAGACTAGGAAACACACTATCTTGTAGGACTGGGCTGTAGAACTCTGAAATGTATTATTTACAGCTCTGCATGATATGGAAACACTAAAGATTTTGAGAAGGTGCTTGAATTTAAAACTGGTCAAAATTCTTTACCTATAAACAGCACTTTCAATTTACAGAAGCAATTAATTTGTTATTTCTGTCTTTTCCCTTTCTTTATAACGGATCTTTAAGTAAAGATGTATGTGCTGCATCAAGGTATAAGCTCCTTGCTAGCATTATTATGAGATGGAATTTTCCCCTTTAATGTCATTTTGATAATAGTAAAACACATGAATGACCTATAACTTAGAGTTCAATGATTTTAAAACTGTTCTTTTATGGGTATGGAGCCATATCTATCTTGGCACCTTAAATTCCTAATAATCAAGTAGCTTAGTTAGTAAGCATAATGTACCTGAGGCATCATAGCTCTTAAATGTTCGGCAAGCTATGGTCACTCCAAAAGACAGCAAGTTTTAGACTCCACAATTGAAATCAACATCCAAAGTATGATCACCTTCTGTGCTGAAATACAAAGGAGTGTAAGCTCTGTATGTGGCTGTTTGCCCTTCATGTAGGAAGCTTATATTAAATGTAAAATGCCAGAGCAGCTTTGATAAGCTTGTTAAAAGAAACATAATATATTGAGTTTAGCCTAAATCCCAAATACCATCATTCCTGTATCCATGTTATTTTATCTAAAACAGAATAAACACAGATAGAATCTACTACAGAAAGTTCCTACTACAAACAATTCCTACTATCAATTCAAAGTTCAAGCCCATAGTCAGGGACAAAGATCCAAAGGAAACCCTAAGGTAGAGGAGCAAGGACTGAGCATCACTGGGCCTTGTACTGTGTTCCTGTTCCATACAAACCCATAACCCCCACTGAAATCATTGCAGACAAGGTAGTAATATACTCAGAATAGGGCTTATGTGAACATGAAGCATGTTTGCATAACGTACACATCAGTGTACGAATGAGTGCATGAAGAAGAAAGAGGATATAAAAACTTTACTGAAAGGAAATAAAAATAAGCCCTAAAATAAAAACTTGTCCTAAGAGAGAAGGGATGAAGAGATATAGAAGAAAGGACAGAACGATGAGGTACCTCTAAATTGCATTGCTGTAGAAAAATATTTTGTGCATAGGTACAATTACCTGCAGCACTAAGTTCAGCTCTGGGGTCCCCAGCATAAGGACACAGACCTGCTTGAGCAGGTCCAGAGCAGGCCATGAAGATGATCAGGGGGCTGGATCACCTCCCCTGTGAGGACAGGCTGAGAGCGTTGGGGTTGTTCAGCCTGGAGAAGAGAAGGCTCCGGGGAGACCTTATAGTGGCCTTCCAGTGCTTAAAGGGGGCCTACAGGAAAGGTGGGGAGGGATTGTTTACAAGGTCACGTAGCGATAGGATGAGGAATAACAGTTTCAAACTGAAAGAGGGGAGACTTAAATTAGATATTAGGAAGAAATTATTTCCTGTGAAGGTTGTGAGACCCTGAAACAGGTTGCTCAGAGCAGCTGTGGCTGCCCACTCCCTGGCAGTGTTCAAGGCCAGGCTGGATGGGGCTTTGAGCAACCTGGTCTGGTGGAAGGTGTCCCTGCCCATGTGTCTACATTTAGCCTGTACCCAGGGCTAAGCTACAACAGTTGCTCTATCATCCCATGACCCCTCACTAGCCAGGGAGGGGAATCAGGAAAAAGGAGAGCAGACCCATGGGTCAAAGCGAAACAGATTTAATGAAAGACCACCAGCAGATATACAGAGTTATACTCAGCCAAATGAATATCCAGACATCACAATCAAACAGAGAGCAGTCCTTGGGAGAAACCATGGGAGGAGTAGAAAGAAGTCAACAGGAACACATTCTCCCTCCCCTCAGCAAACCCTCCCCCTTTATAAGGACCATGACATTATGGGACGGGCTACACCTGTAGCTAACTCAGGTCAGCTGCCCTGGCTGAATTTAGCCTGCCTAGCATGGCTGGGCTGTGATTCTATCCCAGCCAAACCAGGACACCATGGCAGGGGTTTGGAACTATATGATCTTTAAGGTCCCTTCCAACCCAAACCATTCTATGATTAAAAATGTGCTTAGTTTTTATTATATATGCACAACATATATACATGTACAGTACATCAACATATGTAGGCTTAGACTGCGCATCTCATTGGGACTGCGTTCTTCCTGCTTGAGTGAATTACAAAGCACCCCACTGAACTCCTCCCGTGGGGCTTGCTGTACTGATAGGGTACAGCCCATAACAAAGAAGGACCAGGCTTCTCTTTGAAAACCAGAAACAGCTGCAAAATATCATTAATAAAGAACAGGAACACGATTTGGATTGTTGCAAACTCTTAAGAGTGCTAAAAAGTTGCCACGGAACACACTGATACAATGGTGCCTGTCTCCTCTTTGTAAATCTTTGCTTTTGTGTAAAAGTGTCTTCTGGCATTAAGAGGAATTTGAGTGAAAATACTATAATCAGATATTCCCACCAAGGGCAGGGAAAGGAGGAGTAAGAGGGATTGGTTGGGTTTTTTTTTTGTGAAGGCACTGCTGAAATGTAATTGCTTTCAGCTACATACTGCTCAAAGGCATGCCTGCCCATGTTAGCTGTAATACTGTCCTCAGCCACTTAACACATATGCAAGTTATAGTAATTCGCAAGCTCTCCCAGCTAGGCCGTTATGCCCTTTGCAGTAAGCCAGACTAGCAAGGATCCACGCAGAGAGATCCCATGAGGGAGAGGAGAAATTCCCCCACTGCAAGCCATATTGAATTGCAGAATTGCTGAAGTTGTCCCCTTCATGGTGAAGAGTCTGCTGACTCTGGGCCTGCATGATATAAGATCATATAAGGTCCAGTCTCTCAACAGATCTTTTTTCTGCTGGTTTCAGCTTCTCATCTCCTGAAGAATAGTGTGGGATGATCAGCCCTTTGTCTCTTCTCGTACATAGAATCATATTGGTTGGAAAAGACCTTTAAGATCATCAGGTCCAACCATTATCCTAACACTACCAAGCATATGATGCCTGTCAGCCCCCTAATTGTCTTGATGGTTCTCTGCTGGACTGTTTCCTATCAGTCTTTCTTGTACTGAGCACCCAAAACTGAACAGATTATTCCAGATGCCACCTCACAAGAACCAAGAAGGGATTAATCACTTCTCTTGACTTCCTCACTACATTTGCATGAACGCAACGTGGTTTGCAGCTAGCCCTCATAGCTGCAATTATGAAGTCCACTTCTGACTCATGCTCAACTTGATATCCTCCAGGACTCCAAGGGTTTTCTGCACTTAGCTATGCAGCCAGTCATGATCCTGTGTGACTGCTGCATGGGGTTATTCCATCTTTGCAATATGTATCTGGATATTAGCTGTGTATTGATGACTGACTGCAAGTTGAAGCAGCACTGACCTGATGCTATTCAGTAGGCCCATGAAAACCTTTGCCCTTTTTTTTTTTTTTTTAACCTTATAGGAAGATGCAGGGAAAAGGCCTAACTGCAGCTTCTGCAAGGAATAGTGTTCTTTTTCCTTAGATTTTATTTTTAATAAACTGTGCTGTCTGATGGGATGCATCTTCCAGAATTGATGCCTATGACAGGTATTTTCAATTTTGATAATGGAAGAGTGCTCAAGTATTTGGAAAAATCTCGACACTATGGTAATAAAGCAACATATGAGATACTGAGTGGCAGCAGAAGCAGAAAGATTTGTATTTTTTTTCCCCCCTTGAAATCATCTTGACTTTAGATCAGCATTCTCTGTGCCAGCCAGGGCCAAGATGCCTACACACAGGAGCACTGACATCATAAAGTTGGGCTTATCTGTGATTTTTTTA